GTTTTCAGCTCCACAGCTGATTGCCCTGTCTATGACCAGGATATTTTTAGACTGAAAATGACCTATTTGCTTACCTTGTTGATTATTATGCACTATCAGTACAGTTTACGCTATTCCCCCAAGAGGCCACCAAAAGTCCTACAACAGTACTGACAAAATTACCTTCCGTTGACATAATCTCCCCCATGAAATTTATGTTAGAGAGTCCTACATATTCATATGGACCCCATACCATTTTGGCCATCCTGTTAAGCATTATGGCTCCACTGCCTTCTGTATCCATGATTGTTCAAACTACCCAGCAAAATCATACACGTGGGCCAATTGTGGTAGCTCCCATTGATTTATTTTGTAGGGGCTGACCTACCTACAAATTCAAGTCTAACTGGCCTGGCCTCACTTTACATGAGTCCAGGCAGGAATCACACTGACAAGGTTTTTCTCTTGCTACTTATCCAGGGCTGTCCTTCGCTCTGCCACTCCCCCTTCTCCCCAAGATGTTTCTATAATTCCTCTACTCCTTACGTTCCCACTTCTACTTCCTCTCTCTCTCTTTTGCCATTCTAAATTCAGACACTAATCTCTGCTTCCCCAGTGCCACCACCTCTTCCTCCTCCTCTTCGATCTACCTATCACATCACACAATCAAAACTTTCCACACCCTCTTCTACATTTACCTTTTCCTTTGCCTCTCAAACATCTGTCCTTCATCTTCCTCTCACTAGAAAGACTGTTTCTTAGATCTTCCCAACTAACCACCTTCCAGGAACTTTCAAGGACATTCAAATTTACCCAATCATTAGCCAAGATAATATACCTATCCCTCATCCATTCCCCAATCTCTCTGCTCCCCTTCCCTCTACACTCGAAGTAACTGCAGACATCCATTATCCTCCTACTCATGTTCCTCTACACCCCTTCATCTCATTCCTTCCCAATGCACCTCATCCCCTCTGTAGCACATAATCATATGCACCACCATCTCCTTCCATCCCTGGTAACCCTTCTGCTCCCTCTTGGATACACACATTGACTACCTTTTGTCACAACAGTGCCCTTCCCTGGATCCTCCCCCTCCTGACATTTCTCCTGAAACTGGTCTGTGATCTAATAACCCTTAACTCCCTTTACCCTTTCACCAAGGGTGAAAGTGGAAAGGGGGTTAAGGGTTATAAAATCATTTGTCAGTGATTAGATGCACTTTTAGATGCATTTCTCAATGGACATCTTTGTAAAATCCCACTTTCCCTCTATTTGATCTAATCACCCTTTTGCAGATCCCCATCTTAACCAATTTACTCACCCTCTTTATCCTTTTCAGTATCATGCTATCTTAAACTGCCATATGAATTTTATCATGTAGCACATAATCATCAACTCACCCCCTCTTTATCCTTTTGCAACTACACATTCCTATAATGCTATATGAGCTCTAATGTCTAACACATTTTTTTTTTTTTTTGTAACTATTATCCATTATTCTTATTATTTCTATGTACTGTTTACTTTGTAAACTTCTGAACACATGTACACATGCAAGCCATATTCCAAGTGCACAAAAGGTTCTGACATTTGAATTTCCTGATTATTTTTTCATTATCTATTGTTACATTCTCCTCTTGTCCATTCATGTCTGGTACATGTTATGCACATTCTAAATTATGTTGAGATGAAATGCACCAGGATTCATTCGAATGGACATATATTAAGAAATAAGTTAAATTTTTGGAACAGACTGTTACCTCCCCTGTTACCTTGAGGGATAAACATATTTGGGGTCTATGGGAATTTTTTTCATGCATGCATGATTATTATATCGTCTTTAACTCAATTTCAACCTTGAGAGTCCATGGCCGTCCTAGCAGGTCCCTTTAGCAATATTAACAGTAACAAAAATATAGATTTTGTATTCTCAAACTTCAAGTAATTTGGAAAACTGGTGAGCTCAGTTAAAGGTAGTATTTGACTTCTTTGTGATTAACATAAATGGTCATCTGTGTATAAACAGTTAGCCGGCTTGGGTTGAAAAGATACATTTAAAAATGGGACTTATGACTGATGGAAACAGATTTACTTCACTCTTTATGCTTTTGGCTGTGGCTACACATATCTTAAGAAATAACGCTAAAAAGAAGTTTTTTGCATACATTTAAGGAATTTTATCTCCTTGAAAACTGCAGTCAAGGCCAAAGAAAACAACTGTTTGAGACATAACTTCAGGCAGGCTTAATTGTATGTGGTATGCTTACTTGTTACCTGGTATTTGGGCTTGTTTTACCATTATGTATCCCTCCCAATACCTTGCTCGTTGTTGTAACGGGGGGGCATAGGAGACAGAGACTAGAACCCAATGTAGGGATTACCCCTGCCTTGAATGTCAGCCTTCGCCTCAACTAAATTTGCTAGGTCTTTTCTTCTCCTTTCCTCCTCTATATCTTCTTCATCTCCTTCTTCTGGCCCATTCCTAAGGTGTGAGAGCCATGCTGAAAGGATGAAAGACTGGCTTTATGTCAGTCATGAACAGCCTGTGGGAGCCATGGACACAGTATTCCCTTGGGTAATTGCCTAGCCCTTACCCCTTATGTGGACCCTCAGGGGGAGACCATTTCTATTCCCCATTTTATTCAGGTTCACCATGGCCAATAATGAAGATTGTTTACCCTTAATAGGGGTGTTAAGGCTTACTCCTTCATCAACTAGCCTATCTGATTTTGATTTTGATGATTTTCTGACCCCTGCCCCTCCTTTGACCATAGCTCTAACCACTGATACTAGTACCATCTCGACGTTTGCTGACAACTCTATCCATTCTGAACCACCCACCCAGGTTATTACTTAACCTGCAGAATGCACCCCTTCTTCTCTCCCAGCATACTCTTCTTCATCTCCTACTGCGCAGTCTTCTTCTGTGTCCACCCCCTCTTCCCTTATTACTACTCTTCACCCTTATTATCCTGCCCCCACAGAACTACTCCACTCCACACCAAACCATCTTCCTCTCGCCCACATCCTTCTACTGCCTCTACTGAGTACTCTCTTTGGCCCAGCTAAGTGGGATCAATTCTTTGTGATTCCTCCCACAGCCCCCTACTCTGAGAATACCTTTCTCTTTCAACATTGCCTCCAAAAACAAGTAGGCAAAGTTACCTTTTGCAGTCGTTGCGATCATTCATGCCGAGTCACAATTACATTAGAATCCCAAGCTCATGCACTATCTACCCTAATTGACCATACTGGCAAACCTATTCCTGCTGAACCTCACCTCTTTGTTAATGCTTGTACTGGAAATGCTTCTATCACCCCAATTGATTGTCTCATATATGACAAAAACTGGTCAGATTGTGAAAATGATGTACTTACCTGCCTTGCTGATTATGATGCAGTAGCAGTACAGTGCTATGCTATTCCTCCCACAGGCCAGCGTAAGTCCGATGTCAATATTGCCAAGATTAGCTTCCGTAGACATGACCTCCCCCATGAAGTTTATATTAATGGATTGTCCTACCATGTCCGACCATATGCACCCCTTCCTCATCAATGTCAGAAATGTTGGTGTTTTGGCCACCCAGCCAAACACTGTTGCTCCACAGCCTACTGCCTTCTATGTGCCCAACCTGGTCATGATCGTTCAAATTGTCCTGCTCAATCATTTACATGTGCCAAATATGGTGACTCCCATAATGTATTTTATTGGAGCTGCCCTGCCTTTAAACTTGAAAGTAAGGTAGCAGTTCTCAGATTTAAACTAGGCCTCACTATGTGAGGCTAGACAGGAAGCACAACAACAGTGTTTTTCTCTCTCTACCTATTCCAAAACAGTCCTTTGCTCTGCACCCCTTCCCCCATCTCCACCAAATGTTTCTGCATCTCTCCCAATATTTCTTCCCGCTATCCTGAATCACTCTACCTCTACTCCTTATCCTCCAGTCAAAACCTTTTTCCATTCTGAATCCAGATACTCCAATCTCTACTACTTCTCAGATACTTACCCTTCCTCTCCCTCACTTTATATGTCGCACCAGACAACCTAAACGTTCTACTCCATCTTCGCCTTCCACACTCTCTCCTACACCCTACACCTACACCTCTCCTCAAACATGTATTCCCTCTTCTCTTCCTCACAAGTGATCCTTTGTTTCTCAGACCTCCTTACCCAAATCCCCTTCAGAAACTCTTGAAGACATCCAAAAATTCCTAGACACAACCCCATCCCTCATCCCTCATCCACCCTCCATTGCCTCTATTCCAAGTCCCTCTTCATTCAAAGTATTTGCTGATATCCATCTTCTGCCAACACAAGTTCCCCCAACCCCTCTTCCTCATACTCTTTCCCAACAAACCCATCCTTTCCTCCATGTGCACCATTCCCTTTAAGTTCTCCACTATCCTTACCTCTCCCACACAGATACTCACGTAAATCCTTCAGAGTCCTCCTCTCCTGACGCTCCTCCTGATACTTCACCTCCTTCCCCAGTCCCCTTATCTCATCCCGTAGACTCTTCTCATGCTACTTCTCCAACAGCTATATCTACCTGTATTTCCTCTTGATTATTTCATAACAGCTCTTTTACCAGTTTTCCCTAAAGCAATATTACAATAGCTTCCCCAACAACAGATTCACCCCATTCCATCCAATTGCCCTTTACCCTAAACCTCTTTATTAATGTCTGATTTACATCATTTGCACCTCTTCTATATCCTTTTCCTTATCATACAATCCTTTAACATCATAAACTTTGACAGTTAACACTCCTTATACTAATTATTAACTCATTTACCCTTTTCACCAAAATACTTTATCATAGAGCTATATGACCTTAGATGTCTAGCACATTTATTTATTTCAACCATTAACATTATGTAATTAGATGTCATCTGATATGAGTCACTGCAATTAATGCCTTTATATTGAATAACTGGTGCATTTAGTATAAGTTAGATTGATTGTCAATATTTTTTTTTCTATTGTTATCTAATTATTATTATTATTTTCTTGACAGGCTGCAGATCTGCTCTCTCTCCTGATGACAGACCTACTCTTATTCCTGAGTGACATTGGGAATGCAGTCCTCACTATGGGTGTAGCAGTACACACAGGGGCCTTGACAGTGGTTAACTTTGTCTATGGTACCTTCATGTGCATTGTATCTGCAGTGATGTACTCCTGTCATCTTGTCCACACACTCTACTGTTCTATTCTGTCATGGATAGTGCTTGCCTTTGGACAGCTAGGCAATGCTCTCAACATTGTTAAGCACGTTTTTGTCCTGTTTGGCTCATCTGTCATATTCCTCATTGGCCTCATACCAAACTTGATTTATTTGACATTCACAGGGTTGATCCACCTGTGTTCTTGTGCTTATCTTGCGTGTAGCCAGAAAGTTTATAATGCTTGGCTAACAGCATGCTATATAGGGGATACTTGCATATCTAGCATAGTGAATTTTCTATGTGACATTCCTGTAGAAGCAGTTATTGGTGCAGCAGTAGGATCTGCAGTCTTAGTTGGACTCAAATATGTCCTAGTTTATATGATGGATAATTTGATTCTGATCCCTGACATGCCTCTACCTTCACTTCTCATCATAATGAGGCAACGATTCCTCAGATGGTACACAGCAATAGTACAAAGAGCTCACCAAGTACCGCCAATGGAGGATGACACAGAGGAGGAGGAACTAGATGATGCCAGTGATGAAAATGGCAATGATAATAATGATAATGTACCTGACCTGAATCTACCTCAGAATCAGATGTTCATAAATCAGATGCAGATTCCAAATCCACAACTGGATGTAGCAAACAGAGCAGGTGGATCACACAATCCACCTCCAGTGGCAGCACCAATCATTCCAGATGGACTGGCTAGAAGGCCACTCACAAGGCAGCGATATCGTCTCCAGCAGGAGGAGGAAGAGGAGGAGGAGCAGGAGGAAGTAGCTCCCTTACCAGAAGTTGCACAAGCTGAAATCAAGAGGGGTGGGAGAGAGGCAGTGGCAAATGAAAATGGTCAGGCCTACCAGCTCTATAGGGAACTAGAGCAAGAACGTGAAGGTCGTCTGTGTATAGTGTGCCAAGATCAACCAAAATGTGTGATTCTGCTTCCTTGCCGCCACCTGTGTCTGTGCGATGCTTGCCGTTCAGCTATTATCACAAGAGACAATATCTGCCCTGTATGTCGTAGGCCAATTATGCAAACGCTTAGGGTTTATGTCTGACAATAAGAATGTATTTTTATTTTATTATTTGGATTTGATGAAAAAAATAGAAAAATAAAGAAGAATGAAAGAACTCACAATGTAGTGAAGATATTTTTATTACAAACTTGAATACACATGGCACTGATTTCTTGAAAGCACTAATCAGGTGTGCTTTGAGTATTGAAACACCTAAGCAAGTACAGCAAAATGTGCATTGCAAAATGTGTTGAACCAGACATTGCAAGTTTTATAACCATTAAAGTCAAGGGGCTGTACAGGCAGTCAAAACTCTTATTAGAAAAAATTCATGGCCTCCCAAATAATGTGGCCCTAGGTTAGAGGGAGTTTTAACGCTTCTTTCACAGTGTGACTTGTCTGTGACTGTCCATATGTTTAGGGTGCCATGTTATGCAGCAGTGTTGTTTCTTCTCCTTTTGGAAGAACTTGTTTGTGACATGTATTTTTGTGTATGATTTTGTACCTGGTGATATAAAAGTATTTTTTCTTTTTTTCTTTGGAGAAATTAATGTAATTCATGCATGTGTATTTTAGATTTTTATTATAATGCAGATGTTATATTTCACTTTGAAAATTGTCTTTCTTGTTATAGTTATATCCCCAGTTCAGTATTTGAAGTCCTAAAGAAGTATATCAGAATAATTCAGCTACATTAAGTTACAGATTGTAGATGGAGGATAAATATCTTACATTGTCAATTTTTTATACAGCTCTAGAAAGTCCAAATCCAGGAAGATGTTCAAAATTTATTTCTAGAATGCATACTAAATATGGAAAGCATGCAATTTTTTGTGTTCTTTTTTCATAACTGAACAAAATAACTGATGGCACCATAAATTTGTGCCAAAAGCTTCCCACCGATCTCGTCACCAAGATAATTAGATTTTAACTGCTCTGAAAGTCACAAATGGAGATCATCAGGTGAATTTGTTTTTTATTAGTTTTCTAAAGCTGTCTTTGAAAATTTATTTATAGCATTTAGACTATTCCTGTATTCCTATTCTGAGTGTTTGTAGTGCTCTATTTTTCAAACTTATTTTATTTTTTCCCTGGCTTTGAGAAGAATGAAGAATTGTACATTATGATTTTCAATTTTTTTCCAACATACACAAAAAATGATTAGAACATGTTTTTTGCAATGAACACTTAGTATAGATTACAGAAAAAGAGGGAAAAATTTGTATACCAGGTATCAATTTTTTTTTTTTTTTTTTTTTTTTTTTATGTATTGTTGCTTCACTGTGTATTACAGAATACCATTTATAGTCCTTGTACCTGACTCCTTTTTTCCAGTTGTTTGTATAAGTATCTTTTTCTTTCCAAAGCTTTATTTAACTTTGATTATTTCTGTCAGGAAACTGTGCAATTAGGTTACACATTGTGATAAAAAACATAAGAAGCATTATTATTTTTATCTTTAAGGTATATTCTGGCATTTTTTTTTTTTTTTTAACTGTCATTACAAATTATATTACATTTTTAGAAACCTTGTGAAGGAATTTGTGGCTCTTTTTTTTAATCAGCTACTGGGCTTATTGTTTTCTATTTATATATTTTTTTTAGCTTTATATAGTTACATCTTCCATAGCCCTACTCTTAAAATTAAGCAAGTAATTAGTAATGTAATTTGGCCATTTTTTATATTTTCAAGCATCAGCTATTGATAAATGTCAAGGCATTCTCTCTCTCTCTCTCTCTATCTCTCTTTTGTTTTACCTAGAAAATCCTTTTAGTCAACATTGCTTACATGTGATGGATTCCAGACCTGCAACCATTCCTTTCACTTGCAAACCAAACATGTTCCTCTTGTAACAAGAAGTTCAAGGTACCGACTTTATAGTATTTTTAGCCGATGGCGATTTTACACACCTTAAGTGATGGTGTGCATTTTGTCCCATCCCTGTCGTAAGTTCGTGTCAGTGTTACGGCCTTGATTGCTCTTCAGAATTTTTGTATTAATGTTATCGTTATTATTAATGTTATTATTTTCATGATATAGCTTAGCCAATATTTTATTTTTTTAACCTGTTTCTTTATGCACTGCAGTGGCATGTTTGCTGTCTTTGAAATTCTAGTACGTTTCTGAAGATAGGTAGCATAATTTGTTAATTTTTTCTGATTTCAAGATGTATGTTAATATTTTGATTTTCAGTTGTCATCAGTATTATGTTTATTATTATTGCTGGAATTCTGAGGAAATTTGGAAGATTAATTCTCATAGTTTGTGACTACAGTTATTTTTTACACTTATATCATGATACTTTTATTATTGTTTCTTTCGTAATCAGACAATTTTCATGATTCCGTGATATGTGTACTTAAGATTTTTTTGCATTTCAATTTGTCTTTCACGGTTTACAGTAATGGCCAAAGCCATGCAACATAGTCTAAGTGCAAGAAACCAATCACCTTTAAATGAAAAGGAATTTATGTTATTGTAATATTCTGTAGTATCTTTTTTCACTTTACATTGATATGTATTTCAAAATGTTTGAGTTTATCCCCTTTATACAGAAGGATTTAAGAATGTGTTGCAACAGACAAATGCTTTGATTGAAATGGTATATTCAGTTAATTATGGATTGATACATTATGATTAGCTGCATGGTATTGTTTTTTTTTTTTTTTTTTTTTTTTTTTATTTTTTATTTTTTTTTTTTTTTTATTCCCTTACAATTGTGAAAGTTGTGTATTTTCCCTTAGAATTGTTAGTGATTAATTCATCTTCATAAAAAGAAAAAGGTTTCTTTGATTAGAATGTATGTTGCATTTTTTCTTTTATGAAGTGTGTCGTGTTTCTTTTTTATGAAAATTATTATGGAGAGTATTTATATATTATTATTATTATTATTATTATTATTATTATTATTATTATTATTATTATTATCATTATATTATTATTATTAGTACATATTTTTTTGTACAAACTTTGTTTAATTTTATCTTAAACTATAGTATGTGAGAGAATTTACCTCACTGCTGAAGAAACTGCCACGCTTATAAAGCTTCCAATGATTTTAATGCTGGAAGTTTGTTTCCTTGCTAGAGAATATTCATATCTTTTGGATTTGTATATCCTGTTTAAATTTTGTGATATTCTGATATGTGCAAATTTATAGAATGTAAGTAATGATGAAAAAAGGCTTTTATGAAATTGTGAACGTTTTACATTCAGTTCCTGAAAGAGAAGGAATGCGTTTGACTAATGTGAGAAGTGCATTATTTGTATAGATGGATATTTGACAGGCTTCGTATGACAAACCTGTGAGAAGAATGAAGATATGATTATGTACGTCTTTATAATATAGATCAAAATTTTACTAAAAGTATTTTTATTTACAATCCAAGTGAAAGTGAGAGGTATGTTTATAAACTGATATTCATCAAAAAGAGTTCCAGATATATGCGCCAAGTAAAAGTGTGTTTCTGTGATTCTTACTCAGAATGTATTGGATCATTACCGGTACATAGATAATTATTTATAAAATAACAATTTTTCTATGTGTATTCAATTTTATCATCATCTTTGTATTAAGGTCCGTTGAACTGATTTTACAGTGGTTATTTCTCTCTCTCCCTATATATATACATATATCAAATAATGTACATATATGTGTGTGTGTGTCTGTCTGCAGTATACAGGTGTTGGTGCTGGGAAAGGGGAAACATCCCTCCTACCAAGAAAGTAAGGCAGGCTGTGGGTCCCCCTCGGTTGGCGACCGCTGGGTCTTGGTCTGAGAGCCGGGGTTGCCCGTCCCATCAGCGACCCGGTGGCCGCCAAC